TATCCACCGTTCGCGGGAACAGCGCGGCGTACGTGAATGATATGATCGAGCCAAGCGAATGGGCCAACAGCGAAACTTTTTCCCACTCATATTCCTTCATTACACGAATAATTACGTTAACATAATCCATGGCATGGTACGGTAGCCCTGGGGGGTATTTCGAGGAGTATCCATGTCCGGGCAGATCAATGCACAAAATACCAATATGTTGCGGCAAAAGCGGTATCAAAGTGTCCCAAGTTCCCAAGTTGTCCAACCAGCCATGAATGGCGAGAATGGGGCGTAAATTGCGGTCGCCATACCAACGTCCAGCGATGTGACCCCAAGGTACTTTGATGCGAATGTCCTCGAACTGAAAGCAAGAAAACAAAACAGTTTAAAATTATTTCCATAAATATTTGCTCACAATCGAGGCAATAAAAAAAACGATTCAGTACTTGTATTGATAATTTTTAAATATTTACCACGCGAATTTTACTACGTACATTAGTCGTTTGTAAATATTTCAAAAATTAAATATTCTTTTAAGACTACACACCCGGGTTTGGATGGCGGCTCTGAGTGAGGACACAAAAGTGCCATAAAACCCAAAAAATTTCTCCGAGCAGCGGACTGAGGTCGTGGCCGACTCGAAATGCTGGCTCTTCTATTAAGGGGGAACCCCGATGTCACGAAGGCGAATTCGTCTCCTTTTGCCGAGGCAGCGATGGCCTGCACGGCCGGCTCGACGGCTTGACTCATAGCTTTGTATCACGATATGGCGCAAAAACCAGCCTCCAACGTTCCTCCACTTTCAGCGGGAAATTGCCGGAGTCACAGGATGGGGATGGGGGTAGTAACCAATTGCGGTATCGTATACGGTTTCTAGGAGAACTGTGCTGGACGACATGGCCACCACAATCAAAAGCCACTCACCTATCTTTTTGAGTAATTTGAGAGCCCCCAGTGGGAAGCCGTCTGTTAGGCGAGCTACACCGGTGAGAAAGGCCCATTCGTATCTTCTCACAGCGACCAAAATCTTTGAGCACTACGGTGGCCCAAGAGAATGATGGAGGTTTCGAAGAGTCGAAAGAACGGGAGGGTGGTGCGAACGCGCCACAGTCAGCTTACAAGCGGCAAAGGTCGATTGAAGGTGCACTCTCTCTGGAAAAGAAGCCCAGGATGGGAGCTGCGCCAAAAACGTTCGGTTAAATTGCCAGACAGGCCTACTTCCGTCTGGTGTAGATAAGACAGCGCCATCTCAGCGGTCTTCTTGAACGTGATCAGTAAAAACCATTGGTACATTTTCAAGATTGGAAAGTGCCAAATGACAGCACGGACTCTTTAAAAGGGTCGTCTGTGTTTACGAACGGTCGGCCATACCTTAAGAGGTTGCAGTAGCCCAGCTGGTAGAAGTTTGGAAGGAAGCCAAGCTCGATATACACGGGAATCCTTCTGACGCCCAGCCGAAATCTCCGTGCCAGGTGACATTGGGGAAATCCTCAAATATATCAACTCAGCTGGAAGGTTATCTAGCTCGAGAAGAACGAGCAGGCATCGGGAGTTGAGAAGCCCCCCATTGAGCATGGCATGGAGGTGACGCTGAGAGTGTGACTGGCGTATTCTCTTTCGAGGACTCTGTCATCAGCATTGGTTGGTTGCTCGAGAAGGCCAAGAGCGAGACTAGTTCCGCTCACTGATTTAGAGGATTCATGAGGATGGGAATGTGACAGATTCATCTCCAACACTCCTAGGCGACATCCGTCAATCTTTTGCTCCGCCTTGGGAAAGGTGGAGCTGACGTGGTTCTTATGGAAGAGCAGTCACTGAGAAATAGCGGCAACTGTGGACTCAGGACGAGGAAGTTTAAGCTGATGACTGCGTTAGACGCAGGTAGAGTAAGTGCCTGTTTGGTGTTATATAATTTAAGCAATGAAGACATCGTCACAATAAGCATGGAGAGCCCAGCTGGAAAACACTGGCTGATATCCGTCAACATGGGACATGACGATGAGGTTGATCCGCAGGAGGGCCAGCGTAGTTATTGGGTGCGATGCAATCTCACGGCACTCTGAACGAGGAAGTTTGGGCACGAATGCAAAAGGTGCGCAACTTTTAGATTTTATTTTGGAGAGAATTTTAATTTAGAGAGGAGGTCCTCGCCCTTACCTCGTTTTTTCTGCACTGGGACCTCGTATTTCAGACTGGAGGGTACTCAACCTCCATTCATTTTCGGACCATAGGTATTTTCAATTCCCTCTGGACAAAGCTCTTTCGACTAGAACCCCCTCAGAAACCTGAGAGGCTCACATTCGGAGGCCTACCCGCAGAAATCTATAATTTGCTCTGCCACCGCCAAACTATGTTGTTTTTTTTTTATGGTTACAAAAGCAAGGATCTCGAAAACGAGAAGAGAAAGCGAAACAAGTGTAACGGCATTTCAATGTAAAATTTTTATTTTTTCTCAGTGTTGAAAAAACAATTCTAATAAAGTGTAAAAAAAAAAATTAAAATGCGTTTCTCTGGTCTTGCCTACGGGTTTCAGATGAAAAAAGGAAAATATTTAAACTTTTCTACTACCGATAACTCTTGCCAGGTTCTGTAAGGATGGAATGAAACCCTTCTAACGGTTTTTAGTACAGCCCGTAGCACTGAGTAACCCTCTTGCTGGCAATGGAGTTTGTTTACTTTTCAATGCGGTTTAATCGAGTGCGCTATAAAGGCTGAGGAATAAACGTGAGAAATAAATATGTGTTGAGTCAAATCGGTTTTTTTTAATGCAGTTTTTTCGTAGGTATAAACAAGGTATTAAAAGTGATATTTGAATAAGCTTTTAAAATGTTGGCCGTGTCTTGCCTCGTTTGTTTTATCAAAATCGTGTTAAATGAAGAATTTTGAGTTTAATCTCTCAATTTCATGTTACGATTTTTTTTGGGGTTTCAGAGAAAATGGCTTTTTTTGTAAGTATTCTTTATATCAGAGGTGCGTCGGCAGAGAATTTTTGTAGTTTGCATACAATTGATGGCACTGTGTGTGTGCGAACAAGTCGTGCAGTTGAATAAAGTTTTCGCTGCTTTCTCAATCAGAGCGTGTATGCAGACGCTGCCCAGCTGTGCTTTATATTTGCCAGTAGTGAACTATTTACCATTAGGGGGAGCGAACTCAATAAAGAGAGGAAACAAACGGCTATTTAGAAGTTTTTGAAGCAGCCAACTTGTAACTTTTCAGCAGACGAATTAGGAAAGTCAGAGCTTTCTTAGTTTCAATTGAATTTTATATAATTTGCCAATATTTTTTAAAATTAGCCACTGTATAAATTGTTCTTGTAACTAAGTTGAATTTTTTTGTTTCGTATACATATTTGGAGAAAAAAAAACTGCATTCGAGCTTTTTCAATAAAGCCACAAGTTAAAAAGTGTCCCATTATGACCCATCGGTCGTCAAGGGTTAAGATTGTTTTTTTTTTTTGCAAAATGTGCGAAATCGTATGCCTATCAAAGGAAACATGTTTTTGTTAATAATCTACTTGTTTGGTTCTAATTAATTTTGCCCACAAAAACGGGTCAAGCTATCTACAATGCATAGGTGTAGTTTAAGATGCGCTATTATTTAAGCTTACTAAACTATAATGAAAAGCATTTTCGTTTTTTATTCAAAGCCAAGCTTTGTACGAATAAAATGCCACAGATTTTTATGTATGTATGAACATTTCTGTAGCATTTTATTAAAACAACTTATCTCGAGATAATTTTCCCTTTAAAACAATATTTAATTAAGCTCCCAACCAATATCTGAACGATTAACCAGCTATGGCTGTAGTTGTGGATGTCCTTTTGCCATAAACTTAATAAAAATATTCAAATTTTCGAGCTAAACTGATTATCGCTTGGCGTGCAATACCGCGTATACGCAAATTATTTTCGGTACGCTGTCTCAGTAGGCCAGCACACTTCACAAATTCAATGGTAAATAATTTTAGTAGAAACTCATCTTTAATAAGTTCAGTTAGAAAACCATTCAAAAGTTTAATTTGCACTTTTGAGAAATTTTCGGATTATCATATACGCGGTAATGCACGCCAAGCGAAGCTATAATCTTTTAATTCAAAGTCAAACCTTCTAAAGTTACTTAAGTTGTTTTAATTGAATTCAACAGATGTATACGTTCAATTTCCGATCGTAGAGTAAAACAGATTTGATAGTTTTAGATCGATGGAGGGCATCAGCTTACCTGCGGCAAAGCTCTTTCAAGCTTTCTATACTAAAAGTAAACAAAGCTTGAAAGAGCTTTGCCCGCGGGCAGGCCGGTGCCCACCACTGTTTTCGAGTTTTACTGGCCCGAGCTTCTTTGGGATAGAGAATACAGAAGCCATTTTGCTGACTTTGGTTGACGTTTTTTTACGTTACGTCTATTATATAGTCGTTGATTGTTGTCACGCTTGCCACTTTGGCTCTATTTTATATCGAATAGTACCCAGCTCTTCAATTTGTTACAAGGTGTAAAAATTACACTTTGGAAAACCAATAATATTTGAAACATTTTTGATAAAATCTTTCGCATATTCCATTTTTTCGAAAACTAAAATTTTGTCATGTAACTAGAAAACTATTTGCCACTTTTTTATTGCCAATACGACACCCCTTAACTAATGATAGTTGACAGGCTTGCTTATTGCAAGTTCTCTAATCTCTGCTCCTTGTACTTACAACAAAGATATGTTACGAGAAACCAGCTACATACTATTTATAACAAACTTAACATTAAATTTTTGCTATTTTATATTATAAATAATTGATTTCTTAAACGAACTTTGACTAGACTTGTTTCGATGAGCTTTGACCGTGACAACAGCACTCGGAGCAACATAAACAAGTACATATATGTATTTTGACTAACTGAACGTTGTTTCCCTACGTCGAAAAGTCGATTCACAATATCAATATTACACCAACAGCTGTCAACCGGTCTTATCAGAATCGCATGTGACGCATTCATTAGAAACCAGCTGATACGAACTCGCTCACACAACAACAAATCGTTCATAGTGCCACTTTAGCAATTGCTCACGTTTAGATTTTTAATTAGCTGAGAGCATGACTGTACATATGTATGTATATGCATTAGGGTGGTCCAAAATAAATAAAGTCGG